AGCTAGTTTTCGGACGTTAGCGGGGGAGGAATGTAAGTTACGGCGTAGGTATCCCAGTGATCTCGATGCATTTGCGCAGATGTTAGTGATGTGAGAGGACCATGAAAGATTTTGTGTGAAGTGTAGGCCCAATATTTGTATGTGGAAACATGCGAGAGCGGGTCATTATTTATACGGTATGAAAAAATGGAGGGGTCATGCTTACGGCTAAACGAGATGGTTTTGCATTTTGATGCGTTTAGAACCATTTGCCACGTCTCACACCATTTCATAATTACATCAAGGTTTTTCTGTAGTGCGTAATGATCGTTAACATTTTTGATAGGGTGGTAGATTATGCAGTCATCGGCAAATATTCGTATGAATGATGTGACGCCATCAGGCAAGTCGTTTATAAATATAAGAAATAGCAGTGGGGCGAGCACGCTTCCCTGTGGCACCCCGGAAGTTACATCGCATATTGACGACGAATCGTTATTGATGACAGTGAACTGTTTCCGGAGAGAAAGAAAATTTTGAAGCCATGATAAGGTTAGTGAGTCTAATTGAAGAACAGATAGCTTTGAGATTAGGCGGCAGTGGGGCACACGGTCAAACGCTTTCGAAAAGTCAAGAAAAATGCAGTCTATTTGGAGGTTATTATTCATGTTCGAGTGAAGGTCAGTCGTGAATTCTAGCAGTTGTGTCTCGCATGACCAACCTTTCCTAAACCCATGTTGGTTGCGGAAAAAGAACTGGTTAGACTCAAGATGGTTGTAAATGTGCGAAGCGATAATGTGTTCTAATAGCTTGCAGCAAATGGATGTAAGTGAGATTGGACGGTAATTTTTGGGTAGGTGTTGGTCTCCAGACTTGAACAATGGGGTAACTTTTGCAACTTTCCAACCGTCAGGTATCTGCCCAGACTCTAAAGATTGTTGAAAAATATAGCACAGAATGTTACTGGTAATGGAAATTGTGTTTTTTAGTACTTTTGAGTTAATATTATCAGCCCCAGCGGAGCTAGACAGCTTCAGCTTAGTTATCAGACATTCTATACCTTTAGCTGTTTTTTCGATAGGTTTCATGTACTGGTAATCATAATCGGGCACGTTAGGTAATGTGGATTGGTCTTCCCGAGTAAACATTGAGGCAAAAAAAGTGTTAAAAGCAGAACAACACTGGCTGTTAGAAAGAGGTTCGTGATTCTCATCATGTAAGGTAATGTGGTTAGCATCTCGATTGCGAGATATTTCACGCCAGAATTTTTTTGGGTTAGTTTTTAGGAGGGAGCCCAGGTCTGTTGAAAAATATTTAAGTTTAGCAGAACGTATAGCTGCGCAGTAGGTGTTTAAACACTGCTTATACTTATCCCACGCACTGGCTGTGCGCAGGCGTTTAGCATTTCGGTAGAGACGTTTCTTTTTATTCTTAGTTGGTTGAGTGACTTAGCGAACCAGGCATTACACTTGTCATTAGATATCGAAACCAAAGGAATGTATTTATTAATCAAGACGGTCATTTTGTCACGGAAAAATACCCAGTTGTCGTGGACCGAGCGATTGCTAAACGAGGTCAAGAATACCTGGGTAAAGAATATTTCAAGTTCATTGTTGATTTCGGCATAGTTAGCTTTATTATAGTCGCGAATTTTTTTAGTAGTTTTGCCGGAAAACGTTACAGGAAGATCAAGGGTTACTTCAAGAAGTCTGTGATCGCTAAGACCTTCTCGGTAGAGGACTTCCATGACTGTATCAGGGGCTGAGGTCAGTATTAAATCTAAAATATTATTTCCACGGGTGGGTTTATTGACCACCTGTACAAGATTAAAGTTAAGCGTTAGGCTGATAAACTGGGATGATATGTTACAAGGGGAGAATAGAAGGTTCCAATCAACCTGGGGAAGGTTGAAGTCTCCAAAAAGAAAGACAGTTTTAGTATGGCACAAGTTAATGGCATCAGTAATACTTTCCCTCAATTCAGCTATGAAACAACTATTGGAATCAGGAGGGCGGTAACAGTTTCCTATCAGAACGACGTTAGTAGGGCTTGTTTTGCAAGCAACCCAAATTATCTCAAGGGCAGATTTTGTGTCGACAACGTAAGAACAAATTGTTTTTCTGATGCCCAAGAGAACACCACCACCTCTTTTATCAGCGCGGTCTTTACGATAGATATTAAAGGTGTTAAAATTTGGTAAAATCTCGTCATCGTTAATATCAGGTTGCAACCACGTCTCAGTAAGCACGAGGACGTCAGATTCGTTGTCGTCTAGCAGCGAACCTATTTCTTCTTTTTTAGGCAGTAAGCTACGTATGTTTGTAAACGTAAAAGATAATGAAGTTTTGTTAGTAAGGGGATTATCTTGGAGACACTCTTCCGCGCACGCGTAGCTGCGGTTTTTGATATAGCGCTTTGTAAGAGGCGGAGGATATAAGAGCTATCTTGTCGACAGTACACTTTGTTCGTAATACTATCAACCACATACGTTTTTTTGTCCATGTGTAAAGTGTCGACGGCTAAGTAGAATCTGGTGTTCTGAGCTTTGGCAAAGTCGTACAATTTTTTTCCTTATTTGCCTGGTTGTAAAAGAGAAATCTTCACTGATAGACAATCCCGTTCCTTTAAGTTTTCGCGCTGATGACAGTACTTCCTGTTTGTCCTTGAAAAATGCAAATTTTGCTATTATGGGTCTATTTTTACCTTGTGTGTATTTCCCTAATCTATGTACGCGTTCAAAATGCGAGCTGGTTTTTCTTAACTCTAATTTGTTCGAGCACAAATTAATTATTTTTTCTTCTGATTTGGCCCAATCTTCCTCGGGATCATCATCGAGTCCAAAAAACAGCAAGTTTGACCTTCGCTGTCTATTTTCTGCGTCATTGCAACGAGACGCGATTGTTTTAGAATTTAGAAGTAGGAGTGTTGGTTAGTGCCATCTATAAGCCAAGCGGCGAGTGTGAAACACCCTTTTATGCGCGTGTGTGGTGTCACGTAGCACGTGAACCTAATACGAGCAGGCAGCTGACCAATAGCCCCCTCGTACACAACCTAATGACACCATGTCTTCCAGTACGAGACCCTCGTTAATGAATAAGTGAAAGAAGTGTATACCTAAGGGCTCGTTTTTCCGTGTTTTGTCACAATATCAATGAGATTTAACAGACAGTAATGCCAAGGAATGTATAGGGGAAGTTATTAGAACAAAAGGAATGTCAATAAAAAGACAGCAAAGTGGGTGAAAAAATAACCAGCCGTGAGCAGGAATGGAACCTCCGACGTTCAAATAACGCGTTCGATGCTTTAACCACTGAGCTATCACAGCGGCCTTCCCTCACCCCACTTTTGCCTCAGCTCGGCCTTCCCTCACCCCCCTTGGCTTATAGATGAAGCTGCCCGACACTACTACTTCTAAATTCACATATAAACTCAAAAAAGTGAGGTGAGGGAGGGTCGCAGTGATAGTGCAGTAGTTAGAGCATAGAACGCGTTAACCGAAAGTCGTAGGTTTGATTCCTGCTCACGGCTGGTTATTTTTCACCCCCTTTTCTTTCTTCTTATCGACATTTAACTTGTTCTATTAACTTCCCCGACACATTCCTTGCCCCTCCGCGGTGGTCTAGTGGCTAAGGTACTCGGCTGCTGACCCGAAGGCCGCGGGTTCAATTCCCAGCTGCGGCGGCTGCATTTCCGATGGAGGCGGAAAGGTCGTAGGCCCGTGTGCTCAGATTTGGGTGCACGCTAAAGAACCCCAGGTGGTCAAAATTTCCGCAGTCCTCCACTACGGCGTCTCTCATATTTATATGGTGGTTTTGGGACGTTAAACCCCACAAATCAATCAATATACATTCCTTGGCATTACTGTCTGTTGGATCTCATTATTATTGTGTGAAAACACGGAAAAACGAGTCCTTAAGAATAGACTTCTTTCCTTTATTCATTAACGAGGGTCTCGTACTGGCAGACTTGGTGTCATTAGGTTGTATACGAGGGACTATTGGTCAGCTGCCTGGCTGCAATAAGTTCACGTGCTACGTGACGCCACACATGCGCATAAAATAGTGTTTCACACTCGCCGCTTGGCTTATAGATGGCGATGACCGACACTCCTACTTCTAAATTCACATATAAACCCCAAAAAGTGGGGTTAGAGAAGGCCGCTGTGATAGCTCAGTGATTAGAGCATCGAATGCGTCATTCGAAGGTTGTAGGCTCGATTCCTGCTCACGGCTGGTTATTTTTTCACCCACTTTTCTTTCTTCTCATTGACATTTCATTTGTTCTAATAACTTCCCCTATACATTCCTTGGCATTACAGTGTGTTATATTTCATTATTATTGTGTCAAAACACGGAAAATTGAGCCCTCAGGTATACACTTCTTTTCCTTATTCATTAACGGGGATCTCGTACTGGCAGACCTGGTGTCATTAGGTTGTATACGAGGGACTATTGGTCAGCTGCCTGCTCGCATTGCGTTAACGTGCTACGTGACACCACACATGCGCATAAAATGGTGTTTCACACTCGCCGCTTGGCTTATAGATGGCGATGACCGACACTCCTACTACTAAATTCGCATATAAACCCAAAAAAGTTGGGTTAGAGAAGGCCGCTGTGATAGCTCAGTGGATTCCACTTCCGGACGCCGCAGCGAACGGACGTGTGATGGAAAGCTCCAGTGGAGCGGTATCAGCCGCCCGTTTGAGCAGCGGAAACAGGTCTTTTGATGACGATAAGGATTATGAAGTTGTGTTGCCAACCCTTTCTACAGGACGTATTGTTTTAATTACGGTTTTTCTGTACGCTGACGTACGAGCCCGACCTTATCGAGTGGAAGATTTCCGTGACACCTTTGCCAGCCTGCGACTGCTCCCCGAAGTGGTTAGCTTTGGGGGCATATAGGATGAGCCACGCGTGGGCGGTAACGTTAGAGAACATGGACGCTTTCAAGACGATTCTATCGCAAGGCGATATCAAGGAAAAAATTGTCGCTGTCTTGTCATTGATCCGGCAAACCAGGATGTGCGTATGAAAGTGCACTGGCTGCTGCACAATGTTCTCGATGAGGATGTGCGACGCGCTTTCGAGCCGTACGGCCAAGTGGTTGACGTCAACAGAGAGTGGTGGCGTGTAAACGGCATCAGTGAAAAAGGCTCCACTACCCGTATTGTGACACTTCGGTTGAAAGTGGGCGTCAAAATTGAACACCTGCCTCACCAAGTGAACGTAAGCGGTGAGCAAGCTTTGGTGGTTGTTCCGGGCAGAGCGGCAGTGTGCTTACGCTGTCGAGCAAAGGGGCACATACGGCGAGATTGCCGTGTGCCACGCTGTGGTGCCTGCCGAAGATTTGGCCACGAAGAGAACGACTGCACGTTGTCTTATGCCAGCGTCACCGGACCTCCGAGTGGCAACGACCACGCAGAGCTGTTAATGGACGAGCATGAAGCTGAAGAGGCAGCGAGCGCCACTGCGAGGAAGGAACAGGTGACCCCAGAGTTGGTGAAACTGAGCAGGCCTAGTAGGATGGACAATGTAAAGGTCGAGAAGAAGGCATCCGAACCAGAGCCAGAAAAACCGATAATGACAGACAAGCCTGAACAGCACCTGCCGACTGTAAAGGCTCCCAGCGACGCAGACACACTGCAAGACGACATGGAAATCAGCGACAGCGCAGGCAGTGCACTAGCTGGAGAGCGACCAAGAGACATTGTTGGTGAAGACTTCACTACCTCCGGAGACGTTGGTCGAGAAGAACCACCAGCAAAAATCATAGGAATGAGGCGACCAGCGTTGAAGCCACGGCCGAACTTGCAGACCAATCCACAGGCAGAGGCCAGACAGCCTTTGCAAAAGCTTCCTCGGACTTGAGTTTTTTGTGCTTTTTTCCGGATGGAAAGTAACCCGTAAGTGGGCGGAGTTTACACACACCATGCCTCTGTAAAACCTGGACCTATTGCCGCAAAATTTTCAGTAAAACTAAAGCCAGTTTTTTAGAAACGTTCACCTAAAGTAAACACTGTGTTTTGTACTCCCCCCCTATACAAACATCATGGCTTTCAATATAGGATCAGCCTTACGCGTCACAACTTTTAACGTTAGAGGTTTACGCTCGAAGAGGCGACAGTATCAGTTACGTCGTTTGTTTCTTGAAAATGACGTAGATATCGCCGCTGTGCAGGAACGAAGATTGAATCTGAAGAGCAGATAGACACCATATTTTTGAACTTCCGCTCCCGATACAATATATGTGTGAGTCATTCTGTAGGTACTTCAGGCGGATGTCTTCTCTTTATAAGGAACACAATTGGCATTGTCGAAAAAAGTGTACACAGGGATAATGAAGGGCGATTAATGGCATGTGATTTTCTTCTTTCCGGCATTAGTTGGCGCGTTGTGTGCGTCTATGCGCCAAATAGACAACAAGATAGGAAAATATTCTTTGAAAGTATTGATACGTATCTATCATGCGAGAAGGCAGTTATACTTCTAGGCGATTTCAACTGTGTGTGTAATGCCGAAGACAGGGCTTGTAAAACAACCCTTTTCCGTGACTATAGTGCCTTGGTATTGGATTCAATGGCGTGTGAGCGGAACTCGGATGACGTGGGATATGTACTGGCGCAGGGTACTCACTATACACATTACCAGCTCAACAGTCAAGCTAGACTTGACAGAGCATACGTGTCTACGTCCCTGCTTCCTATGTGTCAGGGCTACGCAGTGAAGAATGTTTCATTTAGTGATCATAGTCTAGTAATGTTCACCATTAATAAAAAGAAAAGCCCAAATTCAATTGGGGACTCTGAAGGTAAATGAAAAGCTACTTGAGGATGAGAAGTTTGTAGAAAACGCTGAAAAGGAATTAAAAGAAGTGGCGAAAGGTAACGCAAGTAGTTCAATTTACACATAGGAGTGCTTCAAGGAAAAAGTAAAAATAGAAGCAATTGGAAGATCAGTTTCGATAAAACGCACTAACCTGAAAAAAGAAAGACAACTGCAATGCGAGCTTGATTTTTTGTTATGTCAAGAATGCGCGCAACCAGGAGTGCGCAGTAAAGAAATAAGAAGAGTGAAACAAGAATTAGAAGCAGTAGATACGGAAAGGTACAGAGGAGCGGTGGTACTGCGCACGTGCCGAAAGATTATGGTGTGGCGAGGTTCCCACAAAACGTGCCGTCACAAATGAAAAGAGCTACGCGACAAGAAACGAGATAATGGCGATAGAATACAAAAACGAAGTCACCACAGATAAAACCGAGATTGAGCACGCGTTTGTGGAATATTTCCAAGAGCTGTTGGGGGGCGTCAGAGTGCACAAGAGTACGTATAGTCGGCGTTTCTTGTCACTTATGCCGAAGCGTGAGGATGATGTAAAAGCGAGATTAGAAGCACCCATCTCGATCAGAGAAATCGAAATCACCATTGAAAAAATGAAAAACGGTAAAACACCCGGTCCAGATGGACTAAGTGTAGCATTCTATAAGAAATTTAAAAATCTTGTGGCAGAAGCTTTGTGGAATGTGTTAGATGAGGCATACGAAAGGAAAGAGTTACCAATATCTTTTCGGAGAACACACATAGTGTTAATCCCAAAAACTGAAGATCCCAGGAAACAGCTGTCCGTCACATCCTACAGACCCATAACCCTAGCGAATGTTGACTACAAAATATTCATGGGTGTTCAGTAGGGTTGAGAGCTGGGCTACTTGGTGAGACATCATTTACCCATATGGTGTAGTAGCGCAATTTTCACGGGGACGAAGAGGACAAGAAGTAGCGAGTGTCGTGTGTTCTTGTCCTCTTCGTTCCCGTGAAAATTGCGCTACTACATCATATGGTTAAATGATATTCATGGGTGTTTTGGCCAGGCGAATCCAAACAGTGATTACAAAAATAGTCGGACCACATCAGACTTGTGGCATAAAAGGCAGAACAATTATGACGAACATTCATATTGCCCGAAATATGTTAGAATGCTGCGATGAATTTGACTGTAATGTAGCTATGCTACAAATCGATCTCGAGAAGGCATTGACCACGTGAACCATGACATACTTTTCAGCGTTCTTGACTATGTCAATATAGGGTCTGTGGTGTTGGAAGGGGTCCGAATGGCGTACACTGGATGCACTACGAGAATTGTAATAAACAAACAGCTAAGTGATAATTAAAAGTCTTGTACGAGTGTCAAACAAGGTTGCCCTGCATCGGCACTGCTTTTTGCTATCTATTTAGAACCTCTATGCCAGAAAGTGATACAGAATGATCAGGTGCGGGGGTTTCATTTGATGTCTGCAGAGGTCAAAATACTTAGTTACGCCGACGATATTGCTGTGTTCTGCGAAGATCGGGAGAGTATTAGAGAAGCACTAAACGATGTGAAATTCTTCTGTGATTGCACTGATAGTAGAGTAAACTGGAATAAATGTCTTGGAATATGGCACGGAAATTGGCAGAGCACACCATCAATATTTCAAAGCATTACATGGAAGGTTATACCTGTCAAGTACTTAGGGGTACCTCGCCAACACTACAGAGACACAACAGAATATTGGAAACAAGAGACAGAGCAACTAAGAGACAATACAAAAACGTGGGGTGGGCGCGATTTATCAATGTTTACGAGGTCAACAGTGAGCAACATATTTCTTATTTCACGAGTATGGTATGTTTTACAAGTGCTATTCATGTCACGTGTTGCTGTACAAAAGCTACACAGAGTGATCGCAGTGTTTATCTAGGCGTCTACGTGGGAAAGGACAAGCCGAACAAATCTGTTCCGTTCTGTGAAAAGGGAGGGGGGGGGCTTGGTCTTGTACACTTGTTCCTGAGACAGATAGTATCTAGCTTTGTTCTTTTACGAGATCAAGAAGATCGTTTTTTGAGAACGTTGATACATGTGCGGCTGTCCCATTTTTGGCCTGATTTTATTGTAACCACAGTCAATGGGATGACAAAAAGACCTAAAGGGGTACATGAAAGAAGTGATTGCTGCTTTGGAAATATTGAGAGTGCGATTTTCGATGGAGTATCTCTCTGGGGTTTCGCGAAAGAGACTGTACAAGGACCTTGTAGAAACCATGTTGCCAGAGCCTCTGTATAGAACATTGTACCCTAGTGAGCCCGGGGGTGACGTCTTGAAAAGAGTGAAGAGGATGCCAATTAGACCATCAATGAAGAAATTCTTTTTCAAACTTCACAGCGGCACACTTACTACCAATCCATGGCTCCGAGAAAAAGGAATAATCGTCCCGTCATTTGATTGCATTATGTGCAGAAAACTTGAGACAGTTGACCACATCTTCCTAGACTGTACTGATGCAGTATTTCTGCAGGGACATCCTTCAAAGGACCCTGAAGAAAGACCTGCCAGTTACACAGTATGGCATCCGTTTTTTACCAGTCATAAATGTAGGCGGTGTGCCCTACGATATGTTCATGGTATTGGTTCTGCACAGTGTGTGGCGAACACGGATGGCAGTGCGAAACGTAGACGCGAATCCCCGGCCAGCTCGAGAGTACTTCATAGAAAGTGTAAGTATTTGATGACTGCATACGAGGCACAAGATAAGCCAGAGTGGTTGCCATGTTAGATAAGTTGGTGGGCATAAAGCGTATGCCTTTTTAACCGCCATGTGCTGGAAGATGTGACAGCGCTTTTACACGTGACACTGCACTGTATCCTTATATTGATTTGTACTGTTTACAAAGCAGGCAATAAAGAAAAAAAAGCTGTGATAGCTCAGTGGTTAGAGCATCGAACGCGTTGTTCGAAGGTTGTAGGCTCGATTCCTGCTCACGGCTGGTTATTTTTTCACCCACTTTTCTTTCTTGTTATTGACAATCCATTTGTTCTAATAACTTCCCCTACACATTCCTTGGCATTACAGTCTGTTATATTTAATTATTATTGTGTCAAAACACGGAAAATTAAGCCCTTAGGTATACACTTCTTTCCCTTTTTCATTAACGGGGGTCTCGTACTGGCAGACTTGGTGTCATTAGGTTGTATACGAGGGACTATTGGTCAGCTGTCTGCTCGTAATGCGTTAACGTGCTACGTGACGCCACACATGCGCATAAAATAGTGTTTCACACTCGGCGCTTGGCTTATAGATGGCGATGACCGACACTCCTACTTCTAAATTTACATATAAACCCAAAAAGTGGGGTTAGAGAAGGCCGCTGTGATAGCTCAGTGGTTCGAGCATCGAACGCGTTATTCGAAGGTCGTAGGTTCAATTCCTGCTCACGGCTTGTTATTTTTATCCCACTTTTCTTTCTTTTTATTGACATTCCATTTGTTCCAATAACTTCCCCTATACATTCCTTGGCATTACAGTCTGTTATATTTCAGTATTATTGTGTCAAAACACGGAAAATTGAGCCCTTAGGTATACACGTCTTTCCCTTAATCTTAACTGGGTCTCGTACTGGCAGACTTGGTGTCATTAGGTTGTACACAGAGGGACTATAGGTCAGCTGCCTGCTCGTAAAGGTTCACGTGCTACGTGACGACACACATGCGCATAAAGGGTGTTTCACACTCGCCGCTTGGCCTATGACATGGCGCTGACAGACACTCCTACTTCTAAATTCACATATAAACCCTAAAGTGGGGTAGAGGAAGGCCGCTGTGATAGCTCAGTGGTTAGAGCATAGAACGCGTTATTCGAAGGGTCATAGGTTCGATTCCGTGCTCACGGCTGTTATTTTATACCACTTTTCTTTTTCTTATTGACATTCCATTTGTTGCTAATAACTTCCCCTATACACTCCTTGGCATTACAGTCTGTTATATTTCAGTATTATTGTGTCAAAACACGGAAAATTGAGCCCTTAGGTATACACTTCTTTCCCTTATTCATTAACTGGGGTCTCGTACTGGCAGACTTGGTGTCATTAGGTTGTATACGAGGGACTATTGGTCAGCTGCCTGCTCGTAATGCGTCAACGTGCTACGTGACGCCACACATGCGCATAAAATGGTGTTTCACACTCGCCGCTTGGCTTATGGATGGCGATAACCGACACTCCTTCTTCTAAATTCACATATAAACCCGAAAAAGTGAGGTTAGAGAAGGCCGCTGTGATAGCTCAGTGGTTAGAGCATCGAACGCGTTATTCGAAGGTCGTAGGTTCGATTCGTGCTCACGGCTTGTTATTTTTATTCCACTTTTATTTCTTTTTATTGACATTCCATTTGTTGTAATAACTTCCTCTATACATTCCTTGGCATTACAGTCTGTTATATTTTAGTATTATTGTGTCAAAACACAGAAAATTGAGCCCTTAGGTGTACACTTTTTTCCCTTATTCATTAACTGGGGTCTCGTACTGGCAGACTTGGTGTCATTAGGTTGTATACGAGGGACTATTGGTCAGCTGCCTGCTCTTAATGCGTTAACATGCTACGTGACGCCACACATGCGCATAAAATAGTGTTTCACACTCGCCGCTTGGCTTATAGATGGCGATGACCGACACTCCTACTTCTAAATTCACATATAAACCCCAAAAAGTGGGGTTAGAGAAGGCCGCTGCGATAGCTCAGTGCTCCGATGCCACTTACTTGCTGTATGACGCCTAAATCTTTGAGACGTTTCCTGAAGTCGTCGATGCGGTACGGTCGGCCGCTGACGTCGCAGTGTAGAGCTACTGCTCGACGCATCGCTTCACCTGATGGCAACGAAGGCAGAATAATCCTGTAGTCCTTTGGAACGAGAGGAGACGCTGTACCGCGGCCGGCGTCGGCCGCTGTCGCTTTTGAAGGAGTTGAATCGACCACTCGATTAGTACGCTTGCAACTACGAGATGGCGTTTCTGTGGATCAGCTGCCCCATCAGGTGCGTATTGGCAGCAGTACGGCACTGGTCGTGGTGCCGGGAAGACCGCCTTTGTGCTTGCGGTGCCGAAGCACGGGGCATATGCGCCGCGATTGTAAGGTCCCAAGGTGCAGCGAATGCCACTCTTTCGGTCATGAGCAGGATGAGTGTAACCGTTCACACGCACGAGCTGCAGGGCGACGACCAGAGACTCAACAGAGTGTACTTCTCATGGATGAGGAGGAATCTGAACAAGCGTCTTTGCCTGCGACACCACAGAAGCAGACGACATCGGACGACACGCCGGTGCTGGGGAAAAGCAAGCAAGTTTCTTCAGCCCCGGACACGAACGCCGAACGGAAGATGGGAAGTCAAGCGGCCCCAACGACTAGCGAAGAGACGCGTCCTGCGCCTGCGATGCACGCCGCGTCGCAGCTGCAAGCAACGCGCCCTGAAACGCCGGCGTCCCAGGCCACCGCTGCTTCGACTCCTCTAAACTCGGCTTCACGGCACTCTTTGGCGAACGAAACACACGAAAATGAGGATTTGCCTAGTGATCTGGATACCTTAAACATGGAATTAGAATCGGCGTCTGCAAAACGCCGTCGCGATTCAGACGACGGTGCTCAAGTAGACGAAACGCAAGTAAAGTCGGAAGTGCAGTGGAAGGTGGTCAGTGGAGGCAAGAAACGAAACGCTGCCCGACAACGGTCGTCGTCGCTCAAACGCGACGATGGCCGCTCAAACTAAAGGTGAACAACATGGATCCGCCCTGGACGACGAGAGCCCAATAAGTGAACGTGCAGGGCTCTCAGCTTGGACCCGCTCACCGATCACGTCGCTGAGCGGGTTCGTGAAAGCAGCGACGCTCAATGTACGAGGACTGGCTTCCAGGAAGAAACAGACTCAGCTCTACAGACTAGCCATGGACCAAGACCTGGACATTATTGCAGTTCAGGAAACCAAAGTGGAGAGCGTGGACGCCACCGAGAGCCTACTGCAACGTTTCACCGGACGCTACACCGCCAGCGTCAGTCATGCAGTTGGTAGGTCGGCAGGGTGTGTGATCTTTGTGCGGAATAGTTTAGGTGCCAGTGTTCAAAACGTCACGTCTGACTCATCTGGAAAGTTTGTTGTATGTGATTTGACCTTCTTTTCTCTTAATTGGCGAGTGATTTGTTTATATGCACCTCTTAAAGTTGATGAACGGTGTGTAACATTCGACGAAATTCGTACTTATTGTCAATGCGATCGCATAGTCATCCTTATGGGAGATTTTAATTGTGTGATCAGTGCCGATGATAAAACAAGTACATCCAATTTCAATTACTCAAGCACAGTCGCGTTAACGAATCTAATTTCTGACTTAGACCTTGAGGATGTTGCAGAGTGTATTGGTAAAGGACCAACACTGTATACGCATTTCCAAGGCTCCAGTCATGCGCGCCTAGATAGGGCCTACGTATCACTGGATTTAATTCCGATTATCAGTGAGTACAATGTCCTCCCTATTTCATTTAGTGATCATTGCTTAGTATCATTTGTAATAGGTAAAAGGAATAGACGTAGACCAGTATTTAACTGGGACACGTGGAAGCTGAATTCTAATCTCTTGGAAGATGAAAAATTTATGGACAGTGTTCGAGAGGCGTTGGTAAACATAGATAGTGGAGACCAAAAATACGGAGTGAAGTGGGAACAATTTAAACAGAATATAAAGTTGATAGCTATAGAACGCTCATGTGTAATAAAACACGGAAAGAGTGAAGAAGAAAGAACCCTACGTTTAAATCTCAAAGAACTGCTAGCAGAGGACAGCAAAACGCCAGGCTTATTCACAAATGATATAAGGTCAGTAAAGTCCAAATTGGAACAAATTGATGAGGAGAAGTATCGTGGCGCACAAATAAGGGCAAGGGCAGAGAAAATGACCGTAGGAGAGAAACCGACCAAAAGAATGCTTGGTCTCGAAAAACGAAACGCTCAGCGGAATGTTATACATCAGATTGAATACATGGGTAACGTTACAAGTGAACAAAGATATATAGAGGATGCTTTCAACGAGTACTACACCACTTTATTTGATAAATGTAAAGTAAATGTAGATGAATTCAAGAATGAATTTTTAAAATTAATGCCAAAGGTTGAGGACTGCAGGAAAGACAGCCTAGAATGTCCTATTTCTGAACCGGAAGTGACAAAAGCAATCATTGCCCTCCATTTGGGAAAGTCCCCAGGACCTGATGGCTTAACAGCCGCATTTTATAAGGAATTCAAACACGAACTAGCACCGATCCTGGCAGCGGTTTTTAACGAAGCCTTAGACATAAAGACTTTGCCACCTTCTTTTCTGCTATCTCATACTATTCTGATTCCAAAAACTGAGGACGCAGTTAAATTACGTGAAGTGAAATCGTACAGGCCAATCAGTCTCTCAAATATCGACTGCAAGATTTTGATGAAAGTGCTAGCAAGGAGACTGCAGACAGTGATTAATAACATTGTAGGCGACCACCATACTTGTGGGATCAAAAGGCGCACTATATTCACAAACATTCACAAGGCACGAAGTGTATTGGAGTGCTGCGATGCCACAAATGATCACATCGCGATGATCCAGATAGATTTAGAAAAAGCTTTTGATCGAGTACCGCACGAAATTCTTTTTCTTTTGTTAGACTATGTCAATGTTGGCAAAGTAATTCGAGATACAGTTCGAATGGCATATACTGGATGTAAAACTCGGCTAATCATCAACAAAGTTTTTGGGAAACGAATTAATGTCAGACGTTCTGTACGACAAGGCTGCCCTTTGTCTTCCCTCCTATTTTCAATTTTTATAGAGTCATGTTGCCAAAAAGTCATGAAAAGCAATAACATAGTGGGGTACAAACTACAAGAAGCTGAAGTACGGGTACTGGCATACGCAGATGATATAGCTGTGTTTTGTAAAGATTATGATAGTATCGCTGAAACTATAAAAATTGTGAACCTTTATTGTAATGCAAGTGGTAGTTTGGTAAACTGGAGCAAGTGCCTGGGTTACTGGCACGGCGAATGGCCTGTGACTCCACAATTTGTGGCTGGTATTTCATGGACTACTACTCCGGTACGATATTTAGGTGTGCCATTAGAATATTATTGTGACAGTGAACCGTACTGGCGGCGTCAGGCCGCGGAGCTACGAGAAAAAGCTGAACAACTCAATGGTTTCCAGCTATCAATTTTCGCCAGAGCGACATTTTGTAACGTATTTTTAGTCAGTAAGCTCTGGTATGTCCTTCAGGTAATGCATTGTTCACGTGTGAATCTACAGAAGCTTCATCGAATATTTGCTGTTTTCTTGTGGGGTTCTTCTTGGGAGCGAACAAGTAGAACTAACTTATTCAGACGGGTTCGCTCTGGACGACTTGGTCTGTGTCATTTGTACCTTCGTCAGTTAGTTAATCGGTTTATGTTTTTCCGAAATAATAGAGACCCATTCATACGTACTGTTATACAGCTTAGGCTTGGAAGACGGTTGCCAGAATTTGTGGTAGCATCTGTTCACATGAAGGCAAGTATTAGAGGTTTCTTAAAAGAAGTTGTTGATTCATGTCTCTTTCTAAAAACGCGTTTTTCATTGGAATACCTCAGTACGGTTTCGCGTAAAAAGTTATACAAAGATTTAGTAGAAACAGTTCTTCCTGTTCCCCTATATAGAGCATTACACCGTGTAGGCCCAGGCCAAAATGTTTTAAGCCGTGTTAAAAAAATGGAGGTAACACCTGGAGCGAAATCCTTTTTCTTTAAGTTGCACACTGGGACCTTGCCCGTGAAAACATGGATGCAAGAAAAAGGCTTATTCGTTCCTTGGGGTGTTGATTGCCTTCTCTGCAAAAAGCCGGAAACAATTGAACATGTTTTCCTGGACTGCTGGGATGCAGTCTTTTTCTGGGATGTTCTCCAAAGGACTTTGAAAAAGGATCTGCCTCTCGATGCCTATGGCATCAGATTTCTACCAGTATCAAATGAAGAAGGAATACCTTTCGACCTAGTTATGTTACTGGGCCTGCACGGTATATGGCAATCTAGAATGGCGGTGCGCCATGCTGATGTTAATGCACGTCCGGTCAGGCAATATTTCTTTCAATCTGTCTGTTCATTCGTGGAAGCACAAAAGGTTCAAAAAGAGGTGCCCGAATGGCTTCATCAAGTAGAAAGCCTTCTACAGATGAAGGAATTTTAAAAAGCCACTTGAATATGAGGCTTTTTACCTCTTTTTTTGTTTCATGTTTCTACTTTGTTTGATGTATATATGTTTGTGAATGTTGTATGTAAACAGGCAATAAAGAAAAAAAAATCTGTGATAGCTCAGTGGTTAGAGCATCGAATGCGTTATTCGAAGGCCGTAGGTTCAATTCCTGCTCACGGCTTGTTATTTTTATCCCACTTTTCTTTCTTTTTATTGACATTCCATTTGTTCAAATAACTTGCCCTATACACTCCTTGTCATTACTGTCTGTAAGATCTCATTATTATTGTGTCAAAACACGGAAAAACGAGTTCTTAGGTATACACGTCTTTTCCTTAATCTTAACGAGGGTCTCGTACTGGCAGACTTGGTGTCATTAGGTTGTACACAAGGGACTATAGGTCAGCTGCCTGCTCGTAAAAGTTCACGTGCTACGTGACGACACACATGCGCATAAAGGGTGTTTCACACTCGCCGCTTGGCTTATACATGGCGCTGACAAACACTCCTACTTCTAAATTCACATATAAACCCTCAAAGTGGGGTGAGGGAAGGCCGCTGTGATAGCTCAGTGGTTAGAGCATAGAACGCGTTATTCGAAGGTCATAGGTTCGATTCCTGCTCACGGCTTGTTATTTTTAACCCACTTTTCTTTGTTCTTATTGACATTCCATTTGTTCTAATAACTTCCCCTATACACTCCTTGGCATTACTGTCTGTTAGATCTCATTATTATTGTGTCAAAACACGGAAAAATGAGCCCTTAGGTATACACGTCTTTCCCTTATTCATTAATGAGGGTCTCGTACTGGCAGACTTGGTGTTATTAGGTTGTACACTAGGAACTATTGGTCAGCGTCCTGCTCGTAATAAGTTCACGTGCTACGTGAAGCCACGCATGCGCATAAAAGGGTGTTTCACACTCGCTGCTTGGCTTATAGATGGCGCTGACCAACACTCCTGCTTCTAAATTTACATATAAACCCCAAAATGTGGGGTGAGGGGAGGCGGCTTTGATAGCTCAGTGGTTAGAGCATCGAACGCGTTTTTCGAAGGTCGTAGGTTCAATTCTTGCTCACAGCTTGTTATTTTTCAACCCACTTTTCTTCCTTTTTAGTGACATTCCATTTGTTCTAATGCCTTCCCCTATACAATCTTTGGCATTACTGTCTGTTAGATCTCATATATATATATATATATATGAGATATAACAGACGTTTTCTCTAGTGTAAAACAGGGCAGTGTTCTTGGTCCCTAACTTTTGTTCATCTACATTACGACCTGCCTGCCAACTTCTCCTCATGTATGCGTATATTTGCCGAAGACAGCATTATCTTTCGTCCCATCCGCCACAGTAGCGATCATCTAACTCTCCAAAAAGACCTCGAGCATATTAATGAGTGGTGCAAAATATGGCAGATGACACCTAATGTTTCCAAATGGAAACTAATCACCTTCAGTCGCAAACGTGATAACTTTAATAGCCAATACATAATGATTATAGCATTGTAGAACGCACGGATCATTACAAATAACTATGCATGAACTCACCTTCTACACTTTCGTGGTCCACACATATAACTTCTATCTGTGCCAACACATCAATATCATTAGGATTTCTGCACTGAAATATATACAGTGCTCCCTCTGATGTACACAAACTGGCTTATCTTGCTCTAATCCGTCCTCTACTGGGGTTCGCATGCTCCATTTGGTCACCATATCAACAATACCTCATAGATAAGTTAGAAGGTTTACTGAACTGAGCTAGTCGATTCATATCGCGTAATCAGAGCTACCCATCCCGCATAACAGAGATTAAACATAGTCTTGCACTAGAAGTATGGCAGCTTGGGCTAGTTGGTATGGCAAGACGATAGTTATAGCGCGAGAACAAAACGACGACACAGAGACAAGAAGGACACGTGTCTTTCGTGTCCTTCTTTTCTCTGTGTCATCATTTCGTTCTCGCGCTATAACTATCGTCTTGCACTCGAGCCACAGAAAGCTCGCCGCGACATCTCACTTTTATCACTATTTCACAAACTCATTCACACCAGCATGATGCCATCTGTTCACCTTAATCTATCTCATCGAACATCGAACATACTACATAACACCTTTAGCTTATCACGCATATACGGCATTACTAACGCTTTCAACCAGTCAGCTCTTCCACGAGCTATTCGTTTGTGGAATGATTTGCCAGATGATCTTGCGTCAGAACAATACAAAACAAAGTTCTATCATACTCTTAAGAATACTTATGCACCAAAAACTGCTTCATCGCATCTTCGTAATCATCCGTGCTTACAGGCCTGTTGCCGATGTTTTTTCACTAATGCTAGGTTGTAGTTACTGTCATAATATTTTTTTATTTCACCTTCTCACTTTTCTAGTATGTATTTTGCTTACATGTTCATAAGTTGAACGGCATTTCCTATTATATTCAATATTTCGTGTGTATGTGTAGATATATGTGTATTTATATTTTTGTAACTAATTATCTGTACCGCCCCCTTACACAATGCCCCTCGAAGGCACTGTAAGGTGCTGTAAATATATATATATATATATATATATATATATATATATTATGAAGTCTTGGTAGTCTGGGTTGCGACAGCGTTTGATTGAGGAAAGACCTCGCAAAACGAACGGGCAGAGCCAGTACACAGACGATGACGATGATGATGAACCAGAGTGGCAATGAGGACAAAGAGACAAGCGGATGATGGTGATTGTGATCATGCAGGGATGAGGACGATGCAAGTAACAAATGCCCACACTAATTCCCCCCACTTGGAAGCGGACACCTTGGCCGCCGTAAGTCAAAGTGACGGGGAACGTCGCGTGAAAGGTTTCATGCGACAAACGTGGACAATCTCTGTGCTGTGGTAGCGGCGGTCTGTTGGGGCGACGAGTGGTGTCACACGATAATTAACCGGCGAAGTCTGTTCTAAAACAATGTATGGTCCGATGAAGCGTGGTTGGAATTTGTCACAGAGACCAGGAGTGCGAATAGGTGTCAAAAGCAGCACCTCGTCACCAGGTTGGAAAGACACAACGCGGTGGGATTCGTCATAGGTGATCTTCCGCTCGTGCTGTCTAGCTTCAGTATTGATGCGAGCCTGATGGCGAGACTGAGCCAGGCGGGAAATGTATTTTCGCTAGAAGACTGACACGAATTCCCATGGCTGCTAAAGAAGGAGACGTCGAGAAAGGTAGTCGGGGTGCGTCCGTACACGAGACAAAACGGTGAGTAGCAAGTTGTTCGCTGAACGGCGGTGTTGTAAGCGAATGTCAGGAATGGTAAAAGAGTATCCCAGTTTTTGTGGTCGGGTTGGACGTAAACGGCTATCATGTCTGCAAGGGTTCGGTGAAATCTTTCTGTGAGACCATTTGTCTGAGGGTGGTAGCTTGAAGCTGTCTTGTGAGTAGTTCGAAAAGCGCGGAGTACTTCATTTACCATTTGTGAGAGGAACACTTTGCCGCGATCACTAAGCAGTACACGAGGAGCCCCATGACGCAGTATTATTGCGTGAAGAATAAAGTCTGCAACTTCCACAGCTGAGCCTGTAATAACAGAAGAAGTCTCAGCGTATCGTGTCACGTGGTCCATGGTGGTCACTATCCATCGTTTGCCAGCAGATGTGACGGGGAGAGGCCCGTAAAGGTCAACACCTACAACCTCGAAAGGCATTGACGGGCACGGAAGTGGCTGTAGAGGTCCAGCAGGTGCAGACGTGGGGAGTTTACGACGCTGGCATGAGTAGCAGGAACCGACGTACCGCGCTACACTAGAAGAAAGGCCAGGCTAGTAATAACGACATCGAATGCGGTCAAGAGTTTTTTTAAAACCAAGATGACCAGCAGTCAAGTCGTCGTGGAAGGCTTCGAGCACCTGAAGTCGAAGAGAGCGTGGCAGCACAGGAACCCAGCGCTGACCGTCAGGGTGGTAGACGTGGCGGTAGAGAACCCCATTGTCCAGCTTAAAGCGCAGGAGTTGACGACGGAGTCACGCGTTTGGTGGATGAGAAACTCCCGAAAGGTGGTCCATCATGCGTCTGCAGTATGAATCGGACCGCTGGTGGGAGATAAATGTTGCCTGGTCGTCCGAAAAGGGTTGCGTTATTGATGCGAGCGTATGAACTTTGGTAGGTGTGGCGTTAGAGTTCTCACCAACGCTGATATGGGTAGTCGGAAGCGGGCAACGAGATAAAGCATCGGCGTCTCAATGTTTTCTGCCTGACTTGTAAGTTATGTCAAAGTCGTACTCCTTCAAGCGTAGTATCCACCGACCCAAGCGTCCGGACAAGTTTTTCAGTGTAGAAAGCCAGCATAAGGCATGGTGGTCCGTAACGATTGTGAAGTGACGGCCGTGGAGATAGGGACTGAACTTCTGGACCGACCAAACCACAGCCAGACACTCTTGCTCAGTTATAGTGTAGTTCTTTTCAGCAGGGGTGAGTATGCGACTGGCAAATGCAACAACTTTCTCTAGGGAAGACTTGTCGCGTTGTAGAAGAACGGCTCTTATACCAAGGCCGCTAGCGTCGGTATGAAGGATAGTCGGTGCGGCTTCGTCAAAGTGGCAGAGCAGAGGTTCAGACGTGAGTGACCGCTTCAACAGCTCGAATGCCGTTTCACATTCTTGAGACCACAGAAAGTGGACGTTCGAAGCGAGTAGTTGGTGTAATGGAGCAGCAATAGAAGCGAAGTTCTGGATAAACCAGCGAAAATAGGAGGCGAGGCCAAGGAAACTGCGAAGCTCCTTTGGTTTTTCGGGACGCGGAAAGTGAAGGACTGCAGAAATCTTGTCAGGGTCGGGCCGGATGCCATCTTTGCTAACGACATGTCCTAAGACATTGATAGATTTGCTA